AATTATTGGGGACATGAAACCATTTGAAAATCTAAAGGAATGAGATTTCATCCCAGAGAAATGCTCAAACCCATAAAAACTTGAATACAGTTTTGGGAGTTCAGACTCTACACATCCTAAGAATCCCTCTGCTGTATATTACAATCTGACATCCTGAGGAACAGTGCATCTACAATTGTGTTCCACATTAGCTTTTATCTCCCGCATTATGTGTACTTCAGAGAAGTCTAATAATTTTGTCCTAATGAGCTCTGCATTAAAAATGTCTAAATAGATTAATTTACATTTTAAATTTACACACAACACCAAATTAAGGAAAATGCAGATAGTCTATAATTTGCTTTGAACATTTCTTTTTTTCTTGAATCATGTAGTTTCTCTTCTTTACATTCTTACTGCATACTCCAACCCTCCAAGAAACATAGACTTCTATTAGTCACATTTCTCATATTAACTACATCCCTGACTTGTAATGATATTCTTTAGAATTTGCAGCACAATGTCTCAAAAAAAAAAAAAAAAACAACAACAACAAAGAACAAAAAGGCGTAATGTACCTTTAATTCTGCCCTATTCCTCTGATAAAAATGCATTAAATTTGAGATATCACATTTTCCAAAAAGTGACAAAACCACTTTTAACAGAGGTTCATTTTAGCTTTAAAAAATTTAAAACCCTAGAAAATGTTAACTATCAGTATAAATACAAGAAAACAAATGAATAACTTATATGAACTCTATGTAGAAATACACAGTTGGAATTCTAATATTTTCAGGTTGAAATCTGGTCATGACTTCTCATTTTAGAAATAGGGAAAGGACAAGCGAATTAACTAATGTTATCTAGCAAGTAAGAATGCAGTTCTCCAAATTTCAACCCTCTTTTTACTTACATAAATTGGTATGGAGATTTTATCAAATCTTCCATTAAAAAGGAAAGTTAAGCTGAAGTCTAAAATTATGTTGCTGAATGAGGTTTGATGACTATGCATGTGTTCAAAGTAGATAAAACACCCAGAAAAAAGCTCAACCAGAAAAACAACTAATAATTGCATGTTTTCTCCTAAATGTACTCAGCTTAGGTTTTTCTAAGCTCTTAATTCATGCTTCACGCTCAACTAATGTTACACAAAGTGTATTTTTAAACATGATCTGAGAATATCAAATAAAGCTTTAGATGACTCGTGTAATTCCCACAATTATGTAAGTGCACAAATAAGCAACATGAACTGCCAGAGATATGAGATGCTTTGGGAAGAAAATTACAAGGAAAAAGAATTTAATCCTATTTTACATCAGATTGAAGCATCAGCTCCAAAGAGGCATTTGGAGAAGTATCAAATTTGACATTTTAACACAAATATAGAATGAGATGATTTAAGCATAAAGTTTTTTCTCAAGAAAAATACATAGAAATAACTTTTGTTTCAGCCAAGATGTAATAACAGGGACTGGATTTACCTTCCTGCCTTAAACTACTATAAAGCCAGACAAAAGATATGAAAAGGCAGTTTCCAGATATTCAACAACAGCGAGAATAAGAGTGAGGGGAGGCAAATCCCCACAGCTCTCCCATCTTAACTGCCTAGTTTCCAGGCTGCAGCGCAGGGCACGGGAACCCAAACAGAGTATGGCAATCTTCCTGAGAAGATGAGACAGAACTGGAAAGTCATGGAGGCCCAACTGACTAGAATTTACAGGCTAGGATACCAGGGAAGAGAGATGTGCAGTGACTCCTCTCAAGATTTCAGCCTCCTGATCAACTCACGGTCTGTGAGAAAACTATCCAAATCCAGGCGAAAAGCACTGAACACAAAGAACTGGAAAGAACCCCCAGTGCTAACACAAGGCCAGGAATAGTTTGTGTTAACACAAGCCATTACAGGAAAATCTCAAAATATACAGGGTACCAAACAGATGCTCGGGAGAAACTGCCGCAAAAGTGTCGCAAAATTAGCCCATGAAAGACATTATTATAAAAACAAAAAAGGCAAACCACAGTCTAGGAGAATATACTTGTAAAGTATAAATCTGAGAAAGACTCTGTATCTAGAATATACAGTAAAGAACTCTTAAAACAACAATAATAAAAATGATAAATAACCCAACTAAAAAATGGCAAAAGATTTGAACAGACACTTAACAAAAGTAAACATATGGATGGTAAATAAGCTCAGTGTCACTAGTTGTATGGCTGTTAGCATAACTGATATTATCTTGAGCTCTTAACCATTTTTCCTGTCCCTGCCAGGGCTGTGATGTGTAGTACTGAATCACTTCTCTGCCATCGACAGTTTTGTCGTTAAAGATATTGTTTAATAATCATGAGGACCAGGTGGCCTCAATGCTCTGTTAGTCTCCAAACAATAAAAACTTTCACTGATGTATTTCCAGTGCCCAGGGAACTAGTTACCTCATCTGCCAGTCTTGACTCACAAATATGCATCCTATACCCAAGCCTGTACCCTCACATCCTAGGTTAACTGTAAAACTGTCCCAATGCCCAATTAGCAGTGCCAAGTACAGCTGTGAAAGATTCTAGATCATTGTCTGCCTGATCCTGATCCCACCTTGTAAGTTATTCTATAATAAACTGATCCACTGACTACATGAAGTTGCCTACCTTTTGTTTCATTTTCATGACGACTTCTCAGTTTGGTTGGCATTTTTCATTCCATCCATCCTCCAACACTAATTTTTAGGGAAATGAAACCAAAACTACAATGAAGTGCTCCAACACACCCATGAGAATGGCCAAAGTTAAAAATATTCAATACCTACCATACCAAGCGTTGGCCAGGAAATAGACTAACTGTAACTCACACACTGGTGGGAGAGTTTGGCAGTTTCTAAAAAAGTTAAACATACACCTACATATGACTCAGCTATTCCATCTCTAGGTATTGTTGTTGTTTTTCAGTCATTCAGACTTGTCTGACTCGCCAGGCTTCCCTATCCTTCACGATCTCCTGGAGTTTGCTCAAACTCATGTCCATTGAGTTGGTGATGCCATCCAACCATCTTGTCTTCTGTCATCTCCTTCTCCTCCTGCCTTCAATCTTTCCCAGCATCAGGGTCTTTTCTAATGAGTCAGCTCTTTGCATCAGGTGGCCAAAGTACCGGAGCTCCAGCTTCAGCATCAGTCCTTCCAGTGCATTAATTACCCAAAAGAACTGAAAGCATATGTTCACACAAAGATCACAAATGTTCACAGCAGCCTTATTTGCAGTAGCCTCAAACTGTAAATGATCCAAATGTCTACCATAAAGAGAATGGATAAACAAATTGGGTAAACAAACTCATTATATCCATATAATGGAACATTAAGTAAAATACTTAAAAGATGCATGCTCCTTGAAAGAAAAGCTATGATAAACCTAGCAGAGACATCACTTTGCTGACAAAACTCTGTATAGTCAAAACTATGGTTTTCCCAGTAGTCATGTGTGGATGTGAGAGTTGGATGACAAAGAAGGCTGAGCACCTAAGAATTGATGCTTTCAAACTGTGGTGCTCTAGAAGGTTCTTGAGAGTCCCTTGGACAGCACAGAGATCAAACCAGTCAATCCAAAAGGAAATCAGTCGTGAATATTCATTGGAAGGACTGATGCTGAAGCTGACACTCCATTACTTTGGCTACTTGATGTGAAGAACTGACTCACTGGAAAAGACCCTGATGCTGGGAAAGATTGAGGGCAAGAGGAGAAGGGGGCGACAGAGGATGAGATGGCTGGATGGCATCATTGATTCAATGGACATGAGTTGGAGCAAACTCCAGGAGACAGTGAAGGACAGGGAAGCCTGGAGTGCTGCAGTTCATAGAATTGCAAAGAGTCAGATACAGCTGCGACTGAACAACACGTAAAATACTAAATGAAAAGAAATATACGACTGATACTCAAAACACAAATGAATCTTATAACCATTATGCTACGTGAAAGAAGCCAAATCCCTAAAGAAGTACACATACATCCTATAAGATTCCATCATATAAAATTCTAGAAAATACAAAATAATCTATAGTAACAGAAAGCAGATCAGTGGATCTGCCTGGGAATGAGGGGTGGGAACTATATTAAAAAGAGTCACAAGGAAATTTTTGTAGGCAATGGATAGTTCATTATCTTGATTATGGTGATAGTTTCATGGCTGTATAAATAGGCAAAAACTTATCAAGTTGTGTACTTTAAATATGTGTTTATTTCACATCAATTATACTTCAATAAAGTTACATGTTAAGGGTTGATATGACCAACCTCAAAGACTCCTGCTCCCATAAAGACTTTACCAAACTCCAATGGCTCAAATCAATTCTTCTTCAGTATTGTTTTTTTACCCGTTTTAGTGCTGTTATATAGACATATTCCAAAATAGGACATGCATGCCTTGAGACAATAATTTAAATGTCTTCATCTTTGTATATACCTTCCATTGTCTACATAATTAGCTGTATTGAATTTGAGTAGAAGTAAAACTAAAATCAGGGAAGCACTTAAGAGGTAATGCTAAAATCAAAAAGAGAGATGATATTAGTTTGAACTGAGGTGGAAGCAGTGGGGGTGAAGAAAAGTAAAAGAACTTGATGTAAAACTGGAAAAGAGAAACAACAAAAAAATACCACATTATGGTGAGTAGATGTAGAAGGTGAGGGAGACAGAGTCAAGAATAATACATGGGTTTGCAGTTTAGATGCCTAGGAGGATAAATGACTACAGAACTGTGGATATTCCTTCATTATATACTGAGCACCAACTGTATCACAGGCATGTTCTAGACACTGAGGACAGACCAGGGAAATAAAATTCTAGCCATCACAGAGCTACAGTCTATTGAAAGTCAAAACACGTCTTTCCAAAAGACAAATGGACAGCTGAATTTGAATTCAAAGCATAGCCAGGCTAGTTATAGTAACTTTTACCTTATTTTAGCCAGTATCTTTCAACAGCTAGCACTAGAAGAGTCTGTGGTACCTAGTTAAACTCATGGAACAATAACTTCAGAACAGTAACAAGTTTGGAGAATTTAGAATCTGCATACACTTCTAAGAAATTCAAAAGACAAAGCTCACTGGTTACAACTGGCTAGGTAAACACTCGGTGCCACTATACTTTTATTTCAATACTGCCATCTTAGGTTAACACGTGGAACTACACAATCTTAAAAAGCCATACCCTTATTCAATAGTGAATGAAAAGGTTGAAAAAAGATTAATGAGTTATTTAATGACTGTAACACATATTTACAATAATTAATTTGCATATCTGAGAGTATCCCTGACAAAATGGAAGATCTCATGAGGTAAGCGATTATATAGTTCGGAATATAAACCTTTCTGTGAAAAAGCAGGAAGTGACTTACTGAATCTTAACTAAAAATAAAAATATACTAACAGATAATGGGGATGGGAAAGTAGAATAAAATGCAGATAAATCTTGCTTATTCAATAAGCTTAACCTACTTTCCTAACCACAGCTGTTTAAACAGAAATAGCTGTTTAAATTTGCTTAAATACTAAATTTACTGGTTTTAACTTTAATCCCATGACTGTAGTGATGGTTTAAAGAAGGAAAATAAGGTCAAGATCCTAATAAGTGTCAAGGATGATGGATCTGGAGGACTGGTTATATTTAACCAAAATGTTGATACTTATCAATTAACATTATTTACAATCTCCAATTTTTCTGTGAAGTAAAATCACACTATTAGAATTATGTTGAAAAATATTCAGAAACATTGAAGAATATCTTTAACATTCCTATAAAAAGATAACAACAAAAAAAGATCACAACCTGTGTACACAGGACCATCTCAATATGGGGTGGAGGAATAGAGAAAGCAAAAGTAGCCTCAGAACTCTAGAAATGAGTGAAGACATTTCTTCAGATAATACTAAGGACAAAATATTGCTTCTGTATATATGTATACAAATATACATATAAACACACTCGCTTAGTATAAACTCTAAATGCAAATACAAAAAAGTCATGAAGTAAAAATAGTATTTTGATAGAACAGTTCATAAAAAATACAAATATAAAATACTCTGTTAAAACATTATTATTATACCACATTGGTGTCTGATATTAGTAGTGGAGGAGGCTAGATCTTTGAGGGAAAGGATAGAACATGGGAACTTTGTATTTCCACCCATTTTTGTTGTAAAACTAAAAGTGCTCTAAAAAATAAAGTCTATTAGTTTTGGGGCTTTTAAACCTGTTATTCTCTCTGTACTGAGTATATATTGGTTTTCTTGAGAAGTATCCTAAATTTTGGCACTGCTAATAAAATTGGTTAGTATCATTCTATTTTCTGGAAAGCAATCTGACAGAAGTCTCTAACTTCAATTTTCCCCTTTACCTGTTCAAGAAGATTTCATCTTGATGCAGCTAAACAAATTAAAAAATCCCTCATCAGTCTTTTAGTATAGAGAAAACCAGTACCTGAAAAGTACCTGCCAGTTTCTTCACAATAAGTGCTGACTTTCCTTTCTTAGCTAGAAAAGGAGGCAGTGGCCAAAAAAATTTTGTCTTACAAGATCAAATTCTCCTTCCTTTAACTTTTATACTGTTTTACCCAGTCTCCTGCATTGCAGGCAGATTCTTTCCCAGCTGAACCACAAGGGAATAACCATACTGCTTTACAATCTTACATAAATAGTTACATCACAGCCCATGACTTTTTTATACATTTCTATTTTCTCTAGATTGTAAGACTCACAAGTGCAATGACTTTGTCCAGCTGAGATGATACTGTCTGACATGTATCACAGTAGATGTTTAAAATACTGTTGAATGAATCTTCTTTTCAGTTCACAAATACAAGAGTAATCCCCCAAAAGAAGTAAAAATGTTCTCTATTTTGCTGATGGAAAAGGAATTAATTTAAGTAATGAGCTCAAGAACATGAAAATTTGAAGAGGTAAGTACTAGAAAGTATTTCTTTCTACTATTTGAATAATCATGGCAGCAGGGGGAGGAAAGGTGTGTCAATGTCTGACAAGGACATTAAGGACATGTTTTGACCTCACATATGGTAACAATACCATATCTGTATCCTACATTATACGAAGTGCTTTAATAGAAATTATCTCATTTGATTAACAACCCTGTGAGTCAGGACAGTAATTCCCCTTTTCAGAAGTGAGGAATCTGCAGCATCAATAAAGTAGAACTAGGACTCAAAACCAAATCTAAGCACCTGCCTACTACATCCCATGGCTTCTATATTACCGCATCTTCTTCAACAAGACAGCCATGACATGAAAATTAGTCTCATTAGCTTCTGAGTAGATAAAAAACACAATCAGCTATTACCTAATATAATAGTCCATTGCAATTTTTTTTTTCCACTGTACTTCACTTGTGGGTAAGATAAGCAAAGCATAACAAAATAAACCTGGAATTTCATTTTAATATGAATCATATATAAGGTATATGTTTAAGAAGATTCTTTTTAAATGATTTTACTTTCCCACCAAAAATGCATAAGGTTTTCAATTGCTCCACATCTTATCAATACTTAAGAACATTTTTAAAAATTTTTTCTTATTTTAGCCAGTGAATAGGAAAAATACTTAGTCCTTCCCTCCTATGTTTCTCGTTTCCTCTCACGCTCCTAATGTTTCTGACCCTTCCGGTTACCACGTGTGGAGCGCTGTTCCCACTCTAGGCAATACTCTGTGACACCAGATGGCTGTTCTATGCATTATCTCCCACAGGCTAAGGGCTCAGTCCCACGAGACTGCCCCCTACTTCAGGTGCCAACTGTACGTAGCAGGTCTTCACCCAGGTCACCCACAACTTCTATCCAGTATGGCTACAGATAGAAGGCTCTCATGATCCCCTTAGGTTTAATTTGCTAGAGCGGCTTACAGAAGCCAGGAAAATACTTATTTGCACTCACCAGTTTACTCTAAAAGGGCAAGATGAAAGACAGATGGACACCCAGATGAAAAAGGTGCACAGGGAAAGCATGTGGGGAGGGCACAGAGCTCCCATGTCCTCTCCAGACATGCCTCCTCCGCTTGTGCACCACCCAAAAGTCCCGTGGACCCCACAGGCATGACTGATCACTAACTCCATTCATAGCCCCTCTCCCTTCTCGAGAGAACTGTGGGCAATGGTGGTGGTGACTGGGGGCAGGGGGAGGATAAGGCTGAAAATCCCAAGCTTCTAATCATGGCTTGTTATTTCTAGTGAACAGCCAGCATCCTGGAGCCATCCAGTCATCTCATTAGAACAAAAGACACTCTTACCACCCAAGAGAGTACAATGGTTTCAGGAGCCCAATGTCTAGAACCCAGGGCAGAGACCAACATATATATTTTTTCTCTTATTTTACAGTCAACTTAGGGGTATTACTGGTATTTCATTGTAATTTTGGAGAAGGCAATGGCAACCCACTCCAGTACTCTTGCCTGGAAAATCCCATGGATGGAGGAGCCTGGTAGGCTGCAGTCCATGGGGTCGCTAAGAGCTGGACACAACTGAGTGACTTCACTTTCACACATTGGAGAAGGAAACAGCAACCCACTCCAGTGTTCTTGCCTGGAGAATCCCAGGGACGGGGGAGCCTGGTGGGCTGCCGTCTATGGGGTCGCACAGAGTCGGACATGACTGAAGCAACTTAGCAGCAGCAGCACTGTGATTTTAATATCTAATGATATTATCAGATAGTTTATTAGTATCTTTTCACGTGCTTATTTGCCATCCATTTATCTTTCTTTAGTAAAGTATCTTTTCAAATTTTTGCCCTTTTTCAAAATTGGATTATGTGTCACCTTATCAGTGAGGTGTTAACTTTTTTATATATTCTGGATTCAAATCCTTAGTCACATGTATATGGTTTGCAACTATTTTCTCCGAGTCTGTTGCTTGTCTTCTCAGTTTCCAAATAGTGCTTTTTGAAGCACAAAGATTTTTAATTTTTATGAAGTTCATTTCAATGTTTTTTTTATGGATTATGCATTTGTTTCTGTATCTAAGAAATCTTTGCCTAATCCAAGATGATGAAGACTTACTACTATGTTTTCTTCTAAGAGTTTTAGCTCTTAAATCCAGGTCACTGGTCCTACATTTTGTTTGTTTCTTTTTAAAAATTCAGTACAACTATACTAGTTTCAAGTGTATAACAGTGATTCAATATTTTTAAAGATTATACTCTGAATTATTACAAAATAATGGCTATGTTTTCCTGCACTGCACAATATATCCTTGCTGCTTGATCCTACGTTTTCCTCTAGAAATCTTCTAATTCTAGATTTTATACAAATCTATAATCCATTTTTCTGTATTGTATGGGGAAGGGTCTGAGTGTCATTTTTTTAACATATGGGTATCCAACTGTTCCAGCACCATTTGTTGAAAGGACTCTAATACATTACCTTGGCATCTGTGCAAAAAACTGACCATGTATATCAGAATTTATTTCTTGACCTGATTATATTGATCCATTTGTTTATGGCTACAATTTTATAATAAGTTTTAAAGTGAGGTATTTATTAAGTCCTTTTGCTTTTTTAAAATTGTTTTAGCTCTTCTAGATCCTCTGCATTTCTGTATAGATTTCAGAATAAGTTTCTCAATTTCTACAAAGAGATCCACTGTGATTATGACAGGGATTGCAGTCAGTCTACAGATGATCAATCTGAATCTTCCAATTTATAAAGATAGTATATCTCTGGATTTATTTGGGTTACCTTTAATTTTTCTCTGTAATGCTTTGTAGTTTTCAGTGTACAGAAATGCTCATTTTTAAAACACCAATGATAAACTTCTTACTTAAGCTTTGAATCTGGTAATAAGTTGTAACAGCAAATTTTGCAAAAGTTATTTAAGAATCTTTCAGACACAATTTTAAGTTTGCCATACCTCACATTCATCAATGAGATAAACATTAAACAATGAAAAAACAGCAAAGATCTGTTATCTCGTAAAATTTAAGGGTTTTAAAACATTCAGAAAACCAAGAAGGAAAGAAATTAATACCTATCTCAAAGAGGGAACGTGCCTTGACTATTTTGTTTCTGCTACCAAAAAAGTGTTTGGTAGCAGAAACTTAGTACAGCTCTTTCTCCACTTATGATGGGATTACATCTCAATAAACACTTCATTAAACTGAAAACATCCAGTCAGAAACCTGCCAAACATCATAGCTTAACCTTTTGTTGTTGTTCAATTGCTCAGTTGTGTCTAACTCTTTGTGACCCCATGAACTGTAGCATGCCAGGCTTCCCTGTCCTGCTATTTCCTGGAGTTTGCTCAAATCTACCCTACTTTAAATGTGTTCAAAATGTTTACATTAGCCTACAGCTGAGCAGAATCACCTAAGACAAAGCCTGCTTTATAATACAGTGCTGAATATTTCACATTAAACACTGTGCTGAAAGTGAAAAGCAGCACGGCTGTATGGTCGAAAACGGTTCTAAGAATATTGGCAGTGTTTGCCTGTGCCTGAGTCGCTGACAGGGAGCTGCAGCAGGCTGCCACTGCCCAGCAACGTGAGGGCACCACACTGCAGAGCCAGCCTGGGGAACGCACAGCTTCTGCTGAATGTGTAGCAGTTTCGCACTATCATAAAGTCAAACACTTAAGTCAAACCATCATCGTAACTCATGAATTAGGAACCATGTATACTAAATCTGGTTTTCTTCCCTAACTCCCATCTAACCCAAGGAAATTTCACAAACTAAAGTCATCCACACACACACAGCTTCTCTCTATATGTATATAAAACTTAATACCACAAACTCAATCAAATGCACCATCTTCAGTCTTTCTGTCACCATCTTTTACTACAAGATTTTCATTTCCAACTGTGACTATACAAGCTTTCATGGAGGCCTATTTGTCAAACAGTTTAGATTCTATCAAAGGTTCAAATTATGAAAAGTATTTTTAAACTTTGAGAAATATGAATGTTAAAGAGACTTTTTGATGAGAAACTCTCATTTAAAATAAAACTTAGAAAAATTCATACCAGAAATCATGTACAATTTCACTATTTAAAATACATCAAAAATTAGAAACTACCAAATGCTCACTGACAAGATGATATAAACTATGGTATTTACTTACTGAATATTGAACATTACTGAATACAGTACTCCAATAAAAATGAGTAAACTATAGTACATGTAACAACGTGATAAATGTTATAAATGTAATGTTGGAGGGGGAAAGAAACAATCCCAAAATACAGTAAGCATATGTCTCTAAGCAAAACTAAGCATGTCATTTGGGCACAGATACATTCATAATAAAAAAAAATTTTATAGAGACTAAGGAATAATATGGACCAAATGGGGAATAGTCTGCAAAGGGGATAGGAAGTAAATAGGGCCAGGTGAGAGTGGAAAATGAAATCACGGAGAAGTACATAAATAGACAAACGCAAATTATTACTAATGTTCCAGTTCTTGGGTTGAATGGAGGGTGTACATGCTTTATAACTTATATAGGTCATCTAGTTATTTTCTAAGTATAATTATTTTTTAAAAACATAAAAGCAAAATCTATTTTTAAAAATCACCCATTATCAAACATTTTCCAGAAGCTTAACTGGGCTTTAATCCTGTTAAAAAAAGCTTTTTTAAAGTTTTTACCGTTGTTTCTGCTTAACTGCTTTGTCCAAGTGCTGAAAGATATCCTGAAACAGGGTGCAGCTGGATCGACTGTTAATAGTATACCCATATCCTCTTTTCCAATATTGCTTCAGATCATTTAAATATTCTAAAACCTAAAAATAAAAATTTCAAAAATCTTTACATTTTCATTAATATAACAGATTATCTGATTTAATAATGATCTCTCAGAAAAGGTTACATTGTTTAATCACTCACTGTTCTACACAAAGTACAGGAGAATCTTAGCAGTTACAAAGTTTTTATTTACCATTTCTTTTTTCTTTGTTTTTTTTTTTTTTACCATTTCAAGCATTTAAGGGTGAGACCAAGAGATTTATGCTGAGACACAAACCTGAACAGGAATGTAGAGACTGACATGCAAGAGCAAGTCAGTAGTATTCACAGCCAACAATCCCAGCATCCTTGACAGTTCAGAAGAGTGGGATAAAGACAGCTGCGTGCCCCCCTTCTCTTCTAAAATTATATTAAGACGATAGCAAAGGTAGATATAGAAAAAAGAAAACATACATAGAAAAATATTCATTATAGCATAGAAAGTTGCTCACAGTGAGTCAGGGATTTTAAAGAACTTTAGGAAGGTAGAAACCAGATAGAAAATGAGTTACTTTGGTTCAATTAACCAAAAACAGTAATAAAAATAGCAAATAAAAGTAGACCAAGACTATGGAAAATTGGTACTAGAAGGAATGTATTAATATAATAAAACAGTCTAAAGGACAAACTGACAAAAGACACACATCTCTTAAGACCTATTAATTCCATTTATAATAATAATCACAGAGGAACATGAGAGACAATGTACAAGAATATCTTAGAATAGCAATGCTTATAGGAACCAAAAAAAAAAAATCCTAGAAATACCTAAACTTCATTAAAAGGTAGATAATTAAACTATAATGTACACATACTATGGATACTATGAGATTATTTATAGATCTACATGAACTGACGTGGAAAAATCTCCAAGACATAATGCTGAATGAGAACAGCAGGTTAAGAATAATAAATACTTGGCCTCACCACAGGCAATAGATCAGACCACCAACTACTGTTAAAGTGTGCAAGCATGCTCAGTTGCTCAGTCATGTCTGACTCTTTGTGACCCTATGGACTGTAGTAAGCCAAGCTCCTCTGTCTGTGGGATTATCTCAGCAAGAATACTGGAGACGCCATTTCATCTCCCAGGGGATCTTCTCGACCCAGGGATCAAACCTGTGTCTCCTGCAGCTCCGGCACTGACAGGTGGATTCTCTACCACTGAGCCACCTGGGAAGCCCATTTTAGTGTGATGGGGCAATATTAGGCATTTCTGAACCTGTCATAGCCAGCGTATTCTTACCCTACTGGAATTTTTTTATGTAGCCCAGTCTATGTTGTTTAACTACTGTTGGTAATGAGAGAAGAGCAAGATGGGGGAAGGATGGGACACAGATACGTACAGAAGAAAGATGGTCAAACGTGAGCCATTGAGAGGCCTGGAACAGAGCCTTCTCTTACAGCCCTCACAGGAGCCCAGTCCTGCTGACATCCTAAGTGTAGACTAGCAGCAGAATATGTTAATCTTCTTTTTTCATTTTCCTGAGAAGTAATTGAAAGCTATAATTTATGCAGTGATTTTCAATGTTTGGAGCCTTATGCCTTTCACAGATCTATTAAAAATGCTGGATTTCTTTCATTTTGAGTTTTGAAATCTTGGACGCATTCCATAATTTAGTTGAGATTTACTTCATTATCTGCTGAGAGTTCCAGTACCTTCTCAGAATTGTGCAAAGTTCTCAAAAACGCCCTTGGCACACAGACACTGTTCAATAAATGCCAGTTGTTTTGTAAATTTCTGTATTTTTGAAAAAGACATTTGCTAAAGAAAAAAAAAGTAGAACAAATACAGTACAATACCATTTACTACCAAAAATACACACATACATTAAAAGATTGAAAAGTACACATCAAACTGACAAGAATGGTAGATTTTCTGTGGAGAGCTCTTAACTTGGAGTTGGTGATTAAGGTAGCCTTTATCTGAATGTTAAAACTTGTATTCATGTATCATTTGATCCAACACCAAAAGTAGAGGATAAAATGTTGCAATCCAAAAGAGGTACAAGAGAAGACTATGTAGTCGTTATCAGCCATTCTTCCCAGAAAAGTCCCTAGAGAAATGAAGTGCTAGCTGTAAATTTAAAAGCAAGAGCAAGGACAGGTCAGTGCCATGTACTAAAAACAAAACCCAACAAATATTAAAAGTGAAAGTTGAAGTCGCTCAGTTGTGTCCAGCTCTTTGTGACCCCGTGGACTCTAGCCTACAAGGCTCCTCCATCCATGGGATTCTCCAGGCAAGAATACTGGAGTGGGTTGCTAAAGAGGTAATTAAATCAAGAAGTTAACAAAAGGGCAAAGTAAAAAACCTTTTAATGAAAATAAAAAGAATTAGACAAATTTTGCCAAATCTTTTTGAGAAATAAAGCAAAAAGAGTATCAGAAATGAAAAAGTAGAGGCACTCTGAAACTGACACGGGGAAAAGAATGTCAAGCAGAATGCAGCAGTCTTGCTGAGCCAAGGAGTCAGTGCTCAGAGTTTAGTAAGTCTGAAGTGACTGGAATTAGCAGGTTAGAGAAGAGAGGAAGAAGCTACACAGGAAAAGAACTCCAAAAATCATGGAGTTGGGGGGGCGGTGTGTGGGGAAATCCCCTTGATTATGTTGCTAAAGTTATGGGATTTGTAGGCTGATCAATTGCAGAGGCCAGGAGATATTCACAAGGCTAGAAGATATTCACGTTCCAAGCAGCTTAAGTAGAGAGCTTCCACAGACACCAGGAGATCCAGGATTTCAATTTGGATGCCAAAGGGTCATACTTTAATAGTAAAGATGTGTATAAGTAAAGTCTTATGTCTGAGTTTTGTAAGGCCAGGTCTAGAATATGAAATTCAGGAAGAATGACGCTTCAAAAGGATCAAACTGATCCACAAGTAACTTAACTGCAGAATAAAACAAAATTCAACACTTAAAAGGCAAAATCCAAGTATTCAACACAGTAATGTTCACAGTGTCCATTACCTAATAAATAATTACTAGAAATACAAGAAGAAACAAGAAACATAACATTAACTAGGAGGAAAATCAGTCAATAAAAGAATCTATCGTAAGAAAGAAGGAATACAAGCACAATCCAATACTAGAAAATGTACTAATGTAATTAACTATGCTAGAAGATTAAAGAAGAAAAAATAGTCATTTTCCTAGATGCCAGCACAAGAATTCAGCACATTCTTAACTTTAAAAACAATAAACAAATACAAAGTTTTAGCAGACAATAAACAGAAATTTCCTTAACTTGGTAAGGATAACTACAGGTGACGATGCCAAACATATTTTATAATGAAAAACTGGAAGTGCTCTTAAATAGAAAATATATATTTGCTCTTTCTCTCAGAAATCACTCTAAAAAACAAGAATCAGAAAGAGAAAGGCAAATGCTCCTTTCAAAGAGATTAGAAATCCTCTGTACCCTGAGCCACCACCATAAATGAGGAAGGACTACCAAATGTAGTAAAAATCAAACAAAACATCTCAGATAAAACCAGCAGAAGATAGATCCTCAAAGCACATGGAATACTTGCAGAAGTAAATCCAACAATCCTTGCTTAAAACAATGAAGTCTAAGAGGAGACTTCCTGGACAGCCAGTAACACCATTACAGGAAACATACTGACCATCCATCTTTACATGAAGTATTCTGCAAAGAATCTCAGAGAAAAACTCTAAATTGTAAGGCACAATACTTATCTTTGAACTGATAGGTTCATCCCTATTGGCCACTTGAGAAGTAAAAGCTGAACTCATTGCAAAGATGAGTAATTAAAAAGGTGCTAGTGTCTATACAAACATACAAATTAAAAACAAGACAGCTACACAGATAAAACAGCCAGAAAAAAAAAAAACCCTCACTCTAGAAATTCTACAGAGCAGATGAAAACTATAATTAAATAGAGTATCATGAATTCTAAAGACTTAAGAAAATAAAATAATCATTTAAAAAAGAGAGTACAAAATGAGAAAAAAAAGATGGGAAGAAGCCTAAAGATAGAACAGCTCCAAAAACAGTTGGCTTCTACAAAGAAGCCATGTGAATGAAGAGGAAAGAAAGGGAATACCAACTAGGCAGGCAGAAACTGTAGATGAATGACTGCCATCACCAGGTAGAGCACAGAACTCAATATAGTATGAAAATGTTATAAAAGAATAGGTATTGGAAATCCACTCTTCCTCTCTGAACTTTGGAAATCCATTCACCCTATAAAAAGAAGAATTTGGATTATATTAGCTCTACAATCCTTCAAGGCAGTAGAATTTGATGATGGGTTAAGTAGGTTTTCAAACGGGTGGACCTAGAAATCAAATCACAATGAAGAATGTTTCCCAGAGTTTTATGAACACAAACTATTTACAAATAGATAGGTCCTATCTGAAAAATTAATCTTTGTTAAGAAAATTATGAGATAGTCCAAGACACTTAAATGTTCCCTACTCTTTTTTGAAAAGCTGCTTCAAATAACAACAATGAAAACCATGCAAAGAAGGCAAAGAAACTCCAAAAGTAATACATACCTTTGCATCATCTATGTCAAAAACATCACACCAAGGAGATTTAACACCTTTAATTGCCAGGTCAAAGGAACAGGTGAAAAAAGCTACTTGAATTAAGTCTGAGAAAAAAAAGAGTAAAATTTGTGGGTTACTATTTTATGCAGTTTTCCAAAGGCTGAATATCTACAGAATGCCAAGGACTTACTACATAAAACATAGTTTGATTCTGTTAATTTTAGAGGGTTGGAAGAGGGGAGATAAAGTTATAAAAGGTTTTAATCCTCAACTTGAAAATTAGCAATAACAAGGGACATTTATTGAACAGTTCTTTTAACTACACAATAATTTACTTTATAACTATTAAGAAGAAAGTACAGAGAAGGATATAAAAAAGGAAGAAGAAAAAGGGCAGAGTAAGTGAGGAGTCAGGAGGAAGGTAAAACAAAGGGTCAAGGAGGAGAGAAAGAGGGAAAAATCATACTATGCGACCTGACTCTGCCACTAATTATCTTGGGGAACTCATTCTAGGCTCCCTGGATCTTGACACAAAATAGGCAAAGCATTTATCCTTTGGTCAAACAATAGTAAAGAATATATAATTAATATATCTATAACACATAAAGGGTACCTATGTTCAATGAGAAAAAAACAATAATCCAACAGAAGATGGCCAAGGTTTATAAAGAGGCAATTCACAGAAAGAATGAAATAACTAATAAACCTATGAAAGGAAGTTCAACCTTACAAGTAACCAAAGGAACACAAATTAAAGCTAGATATCATTTTTCACTAATCAAATTGGTGAAAGTCAAAATGACTAATAATATCCACTATTGGATGAATTAGGGGAAATGAGCATTCTCATATATTGCTGATATAAACTTTTCTACACTTTCAGAGAAAAATTTGGAAGTATATGTCAAGATGTAAAATATTCATGCTGCTTAATCCAGTAAGTCTACCTATATTTGTTTATCTTATAAACTCTCAAGTGCAAAAAGCAGACTATAAGGATGTTCACTGTTGCATTATTTGAAAGAGCTAAAAACTAAGAAAAACTTCAATAGAAAAGTAATTTCCTATACAAAGAATCTGGACTGTATTAGCTCCAGCCTCTCTGACCAGTAAAATTTAATGATGGGGTAAATAACTTTTAACTAGTATTGACCTAAAAATGTATCATATATATTTTTGAAATAACACAATTTAAAAAAATTATGCAGCAACATTTCTAAATAAGAATAAATTACAAAAAATACATTCAACTTCACCTTTCTATGTAAAAAAAAGGTATTTAAATAACTAAAGTATTTTCGAGCAGCTACTCTGTGCCAGGTACTGTGTTGATGCTTTGCATGAATAAATCTATTATAATCCTTCCAATAATCCTATGAGGCAGGTACAATTTCTATATCTGTTTTACACAGAAAGAAACCATGACATAGTTATTAAGGAACTTGTGATGTATAAAGATCAGAGAGTTATTCAAAAATATAACAAAGTCAAGAATCAAATGCAAACAGTCCAATTCCAGAACTCGTGATTTTAACCATTATGTTAATATTGCCTCCAAAAAGTTGCTCTCACCCAATAAGTAAAACATAAATTTATTGTTGTTTTCAGTTGCTAAGCCATGTCTTACTCTTCTGCAACCCCAAAGACCATAGCCCACCAGGCTCTTCTGTTCATGGGATTCCCCAAGCAAGAACACTGGAGCGGATTGCCATTTCCTTCTCCAGGGGATCTTCCCAACCCAGGGATCAAACTCATGTTTCCTGCATTGACAGGCAGATTCTTTACCACTGACCCATCAGAGAAGTCCAGAACACAAAAATCCTTGTCAATTCAGAGACTAGAAACTTTTTTTTTTTTTAAATCTTAAACAATCTTAAATGTCCACTAACACAATAATGGCTAAATACTGGTAGTTATATAATGTAATTCTATACATAAGTATAAATGTAGAACTAGAATTACACACATTAAATAAAAAAATACAAAGCTGAATTAAAATCAAATGTCAGAATGACATCAGAGTTTGACATCATTCCTAAAAGTTTAAAAATCTGCAAATTATATCCCATTTAGGTACATAAATATAAACATTAAAAATTGGCATAGGATGACTTAAATGCTCAATTCATAACAGTAGTTACCTGTGGGGAGAAAAGGAAAGGAATGAGATCCTGGAGAGGGCCTAAGGGCCCTCAATTTATTTAAAGCAACTAACTGAAGCATAATTTTAAAATCTGATCAAACTAAGTTGTGGGGATACAGATACTCATTATATTACCCTTTATTATTACCTATGTACTTGAATTATTTCCCAAATAAGTAATTTTTAAAGCTCTGCAAATGACTCCAACGCATAGCCAGTTGAAGAAAGAGAAAAAACTCAATTTTAAATGCTAGTCTAGTTATCTTCACTTTTCTGATCCTTTGGCATTCCAGATGGTGCAGTGGTAAAGAATCTGCCTGCCAATGCAGGAACTGCAGGAGACTGGGGGTTTGATTTCTGGGTTGGGAAAATCATCTGGAGGAGGGCATGGCAACCCATTCCAGTATACCTGCCCAGAGAATTCCATGGACAGAGGAGCTTGGCAGGCTACAGTCCATGGTGTCACAAAGAGTCTGACATGACTGAGCATGCACTCGCATAAAGCATTTAGACACCAAATCAACAGATGCTAGTCTACTTAATTTGTTCCCAACATTTCCTGCACTGGTCCTTGGAAATTTATTCACACTATAAAGAAATCATACTCTATATATAGATTCGTCAGTATCTGCTGTATGGATTACACATTCCTAGAAAACAGGAAAATTTTTTATTATTTTTCTTAATTTCTCACTGCTAGGTGAGCATGTATCCTGGTTTTCCACCTGCTCTCCCAGCACAATTATTAATAGTGGTTTCCTTTTACCCAGGTTGCATGACAAACTGCAGCCAACCCACCCACTGCAACAACTTATGACAGATATGTCTGTTCACTTTCTCAAAATCTCTAAGATAAAAGCCTCAAAGGAAAAAAAAAAATCACACTTCTTTTCTAAAACTTAATCCCTTGCAAACATTAACATGTACTTCTGAACTGCTTTAAAAGCTAAAGAATTTTTAAATGATTTTCCATTTATATTACTTTCAGTTCAGTTCAGTTCAGTCACTCAGTCGTGTCCGACTCTTTGCGACCCCATGAATCGCAGCATGCCAGTCCTCCCTATCCATCACAAACTCCCGGAGTTTACTCAAACTCATGCCCATCGAGTCGGTGATGCCATCCAGCCATCTCATCCTCTGTCATCCCCTTTTCCTCCTGCCCCCAATCCCTCCCAGCATTAGGGTCTTTTCCAATGAGTCAACTCTTCGCATGAGGTGGCCAAAGTACTGGAGTTTCAGCTTCAGCATCAGTCCTTCCAATGAACACCCAGGACTGATCTCCTTTAGGATGGACTGGTTGGATCTCCCTGCAGTCCAAGGGACTCTCAAGAGTCTTCTCCAACACCACAGTTCAATAGCATCAATTTTTCAGTGCTCAGCTTTCTTTATAGTCCAACTCTCACATCCATACATGACCACTGGAAAAACCATAGCCTTGACCAGACGGACCTTTGCTGGCAAAGTAATGTCTCTGCTTTTTAACATGCCATCATACGCTATCTAGGTTGGTCATAACTTCCCTTCCAAGGAGTAAGCGTCTTTCAATTTCATGGCTGCGGTCACCATCTGCAGTGATTTTGGAGCCCAAAAAAGTAAAGTCTGACACTGTTTCCACTGTCTCCCCATCTATTTCCCATAGGAGGAGATAATTCAGAAAAGATAATTTCTGTTTTGTAAATAATGCTTGGGGTTAAAGCTTCATATAACTTTGCCCTCAAAAAAAACACAAAAAAACAAATCCAGTATATATCAAGAATTCTGTGTATTAACTTACACAAAACTCAGAGAAAAATCTGAACCTAAAAATAGTAAGCATGAGATATAGAATCTTCTTGACCTAGAACACATTATTTTCTCAATGTAAAATCAACTGTGGTCCTTTAAAAGGAATAACTTTATTCTTCCATATTTTTCCATATTTAGAGTTTAAAAATCACTTAAATTATTTCAGAGTTCAAATGCAAGATAACAGGCACATTACCTGCATTTAAGTTGTTGACTGGCACTTGCAAAATATCCGCAACTTTCTGTAAAATGTTCTGCATTTCTGGTCCAGTTTTGAAGGCTTCTACATGATAAAGAGCAGTAGCATTCCTTTCCACTTGAGTCAAAAACTTCTCACAATGATCAAAGAACCTCATTAATTTATCATTAATTCTTGGAGGTCCACACTCCATATCTGAAAGGAGAAAAAAATATTGTGTGTATATGTATATACATATATACATATATACGTACACACACATCCATTGACAGGAATGACAATTTCAAATTATTGAAAATTTTGTTTCAAGTATAAAAAGGAACACTAAAAACCTATTCACACCTCAACATATCTGAAATAAGTAAACACACTGCTTATGAAAGACATGGGGCAAAACTATTTCCCAATTGTAAAGACTGTTAGTTCATGAGAGGATGGAAAAAAAGACGGAAAAAAAGACTAAAGAAACAGAGAACATCAAAGGTAAAAATAAAATGTTAGAGCAATACTACACTATGGAATAAATTGAATGTTTTCTTAAAGAAAACAAAAAATGATTTGACATGAATATCATAAGAAGTGCAAAAATGTATTACATAGGTACTGTTTCTATCAGGCATAGAAAATTTGAGAAATCAAACTAAAAATTAGCAAAGCTTCTAATAACAAGGTGAGAGAGAATTCAAGGTAGACTCTGTTTTACTACTTTAATCCAAAGTCTAAATAAAGAGTATTTTATATTCTCAAATAACTTTCTCAAATCTGTGTTACTTTACAAAAGACTACTTTGGACAAAAACTATTGACAACAACACAAGATATATGAAAGTTTCAGGTATTATGTATTTCATTGTGCTGGATGTTTCTGATTTGGTTTATTTTCTAATTGGAGCTCCTACATAACTTTCCATTTAGAATTTTATATGTTACATTATTTCCCCAATTAAGGAACAAATACATACTAGAAAAGCATTCATAATCATGCTCCAACTACTGGGGTGCCTTTTAAGTTTTCTTAGTCATATTTAAAATACACAGATTTCAGTCATCATTTTTCCAAAAATTTACTATGACAAGAACACTAAGTACTAATAGTATATAATATTGTTTCTGTAATTAAAATGAGAAAATTATGTCTTTTGGATGTGTCTGTGAAAATATCTCTATGTATGTGTATGTATTCATTTCAAATCCTGAAATGAATAATCAAGCCCACTGAATTGGCAATTGGATTACAGTTCTTAAGAAACATCTTGACTAGGAAAATAAGTCATCTTTCTCATCTTTTTCTGTGGCCTCAGAATTTCCTAAGTGGATCTGGATAATTCGCTCCTGCTATTATCTAATTACTGCTGTTCTTTAAACAGAAACAAAGGCATTGTTCTGTTTCTGTAAGAATACAAAATCCAATTCAGTGGCTTCCCTCCAAAGCCCAGATGTACAAAACAGGCAAAACAATTGTCTGTAGATAATAATAAAAAAGAACCTCATTAATTTATCATTAATTCTTGGAGGTCCACACTCCATATCTGAAAGGAGAAAAAAATATTGTGTGTATATGTATATACATATATACATATATACGTATACACACATCCATTGACAGGAATGACAATTTCAAATTATTGAAAATTTTGTTTCAAGTATAAAAAGGAACACTAAAAACCTATTCACACCTCAACATATCTGAAATAAGTAAACACACTGCTTATGAAAGACATGGGGCAAAACTATTTCCCAGTTGTAAAGACTGTTAGTTCATGAGAGGATGGAAAAAAAGACGGAAAAAAAGACTAAAGAAACAGAGAACATCAAAGGTAAAAATAAAATGTTAGAGCAATACTACACTATGGAATAAATTGAATGTTTTCTTAAAGAAAACAAAAAATGATTTGACATGAATATCATAAGAAGTGCAAAAATGTATTACATAGGTACTGTTTCTATCAGGCATAGAAAATTTGAGAAATCAAACTAAAAATTAGCAAAGCTTCTAATAACAAGGTGAGAGAGAATTCAAGGTAGACTCTGTTTTACTACTTTAATCCAAAGTCTAAATAAAGAGTATTTTATATTCTCAAATAACTTTCTCAAATCTGTGTTACTTTACAAAAGACTACTTTGGACAAAAACTATTGACAACAACACAAGATATATGAAAGTTTCAGGTATTATGTATTTCATTGTGCTGGATGTTTCTGATTTGGTTTATTTTCTAATTGGAGCTCCTACATAACTTTCCATTTAGAATTTTATATGTTACATTATTTCCCCAATTAAGGAACAAATACATACTAGAAAAGCATTCATAATCATGCTCCAACTACTGGGGTGCCTTTTAAGTTTTCTTAGTCATATTTAAAATACACAGATTTCAGTCATCATTTTTCCAAAAATTTACTATGACAAGAACACTAAGTACTAATAGTATATAATATTGTTTCTGTAATTAAAATGAGAAAATTATGTCTTTTGGATGTGTCTGTGAAAATATCTCTATGTATGTGTATGTATTCATTTCAAATCCTGAAATGAATAATCAAGCCCACTGAATTGGCAATTGGATTACAGTTCTTAAGAAACATCTTGACTAGGAAAATAAGTCATCTTTCTCATCTTTTTCTGTGGCCTCAGAATTTCCTAAGTGGATCTGGATAATTCGCTCCTGCTATTATCTAATTACTGCTGTTCTTTAAACAGAAACAAAGGCATTGTTCTGTTTCTGTAAGAATACAAAATCCAATTCAGTGGCTTCCCTCCAAAGCCCAGATGTACAAAACAGGCAAAACAATTGTCTGTAGATAATAATAACGCAGCTAAGCAAAAGGTTTAATCTCTGAGACTGAAAATGGTGAGGGGTGGCTTATCCTGAACTATTTTGACCCAGGGCTGGCAAATGCTAATTCTCACAATGCCATTTAAGGGCAAAAATTTATTCATCCCAGAAGGTCCAGTGGTTCCTTTCTGGTATACATTAGTGTATACCAACATTCAGCTAATTTTAAAAAATTGTGGGAAATTTTCACTCATATTAATGGGAAAAAGTCTAGCTATTTAATCAAAAAGCGCATTCAACAAGTGAGTAAACACAAGTCAGCAAAATAAGTTACCCCCAGAGCAGTGACAGGACAATGTCAATGGAAGAACCTCTTGAAGATGGCGGAACAGCTGAAGAGAGGATGCTATTTGAGAAATGACAAACTAGTCTACCTCTAACTTATTTTTCACTTGGGCTTTTTAAAGCTGAACGATGCCTCACCTCAACTTTGACCTTAAAGCTGATCAAGAAGTATTAACACTTGTTCATCTCTCTGGCACAAAAATGCCATGTTTTCATTCTTATCCTTAAGTTATAGGACAAATAGAAGTTGTATATACAGTGCAACGCTTAAGAGCTCAAGCTCTAAATCCTTTTCCCTGGATCCACACCCAGTCATGTGAAATTAGGCAAAGTATTGTCTCTATGTCTCAACTTCCTCACCTGTTAAGATGGGTGAAAATGCCATCAACTTCAGAGAGCTGTTGTAAAGATTACGTGAAATAAGTGTGAGGCATGCCTGGTACACAGCAAGCATTAAGTGTTTGCTATTATTATTGTTGTTGTCTATGACTATTAAAACATTTTCTAAGGAAAAAAGCATCATTCCAGAAAAACAGAAGGCCTGGATTCTGGGCCTGACTCAGTCCTTAAAACTAAGAAAGGACTATCAGCAAGGGATATTCTTGGGCTCAGCATCAAGACCTGTGAAATAAGAGCGATGCTAGATGATCTCCCAAACTTTGCAAAAGCATAAGTAATGGAATAAATTAGTAAAGTACTGTGCCATGACCATGGACCACAGCTACAAAGAGAGTAACTCTACAGTACATGCAAGAACAAAAGAGAAAAAAGCAGAGCAGAAAAGAAAGTCCTAGAGCAGCTTCCTAAAATAGGTCGTAGGTCTAGAACTGATATCAGAAAAAGTTGTTAATAAAAAAAATAAAATAAAATCCAAATACTATCAGAGGTAAAGCCTGAGGAAAAAACTCAGATTGTATTACATTAAAAAAAAAAAAAGCCTGCCCAACTGTAGAACTCGCTGTCAGAGAGAGAGGAAAGGGACAAGGGTTGGTGCTCAGAGAGAAATTCATTTTGGAAATGGGTGATCAAAAACTGCCCTGGCCTGTCTCCTTTACTATTGGATCCCCCAACGTATACTACAGCTTCCTGTATGTAGAAGGTACCAAATTCATCCCTGATAAAAGAATAAATGAACATTATGTATGAGAAGGGAGAGAGTCCAGTGCTGAACAGTCCAAAGGATGGGCGCGGGGTGGGCGGGGAAGGACCGGGGACTGGGGTCAGAGGGAGGTGAGGTTGGAGTCGGCGAAGTCCAGGATCTGGGGGCGGCCCAGGGTGGTCACCTGCGACGTCGGGTGGCGGTAACCCCGGGTGGTAGTGCTGCCAGAGCCCCTGCAGGAAGGCGGCGCCGCTGTCCACGCAGCGGTGCTTGGAGCTGGTGACTAGCTGCAGGCGGCCGTAGTTCTCCTGGCTGAAGAGCGCTGGGAAAAGGGAGGCTAGGCGCAGGGCCAGCTGTCGCATGTCCTGCCGCCCCTTCTCCACCAGCTGCCCGTCCATCCAGTCCGCGTACCACAGCGGCCAGTCGGCCAGCGCGGCGCCCAGGTCTCCGCGGCCGGCAGCGCGGGTCCGGTCATCTTTGGCCCCGCGGGCCTGCAGCAGCCCGTGCAGCTGCCGCAGCTTGCGAATCTGTTTGGTCGTCGGGTAGCGGGTGCCATGGCGGATGAGGGCGACCAGTTGCACTGGGGTACAGGTCTCCTCTAACAACTCCGGGTCCCGCCGCGGCGCTTCAGGGTCCGGCAGTAGCCCGGGGTTGGCATCCTCGTAGCGAGTCTTGGTGCCGAAGTAGGGGCTGAGCGCGGAGACCACACTGTCCTCCGGCTCCAGGAGGGAGCAGCGAGAGAGCGACGAGACTAACGCCACAGCCAGGGCCGCGACGGGCGTTGCGGAGACCCTGACGAGGCTGCACGGGCAGCGGGGCATGGTGCGCTGCGACCCGCGGAGGGTGACGTACCGGCTGGGTCGCCGACTTCCGGCTCCGGTGGGCAGGGGGCGGGCCTGAAGGGCGCTTCCGGCCGCTGCCCCCGGGATTCACTGAGAGTTTTCGGCACTCCGACTCTTAAAAGAGGTAGACGTGGGTGGTCGACCACCGGGAGGACAAGCGGGATGCAGTGAGGAGTCCAGTGGACCCGTGGCTCAGGTGAAGCCGGCAGAACTCTCCGAGGAGTTTCGGAGACCTGTGGCTAAGGTGGAGCCTGCATCTCCTGGCCCTGGAATGTGGGCGAGTTTCTTCATAGCTGGCGCCTCAGGGACTGACTCAAAGATTCCCCCGCTGTTTCCATTCTCTTGGTTGTGAATGAAGCCGGATTCAGGCTTCGTCTGCCAAAGCTGCCAAAACAGGACACGTTTTAACGGCTAGCTCTTGTGTCATCATTCTTAACATTGTACTCTGTTTTTCAAAATGTAGTTTGAACCAGCTGCATCAAATCCGCCTAAAGCCTTTGATGAAAATGTAGATTCGTGGATCCTGCCCCAGCGTACCTCCTAAGTCCAAGGTTTTCCCGCATTTGAGTTTCCCTTTTACAGCAGGCAGAGAAGAACCTGGAAAGAGGCTCAGTTCTCCTGAAAATTCCTGAACCTTTGGTATTTTCTTGACATGGAGCGGCAAAGCTGACATCAGCGAGACAGCATCCCAGAAGTACTTGATACCGAAGATTTAGCTAGTAGAGACAACAATCCTGATCACTCGGACGCGTTGAGTCATGGTCCAACAGATAAGTATGGGCTAATCTTTGTGAAGCAGACGAGGTCTGTATTTACCGCCACTTTGAGTCCAGACTCTCCTCCCACATAATTACATACTCAAATCAACCCCTAGGTTTTTTGTAGGTTATTGCTCAGAATCTCACTCCAAAAATCATAAATCTGAACAGTACCTTGGTTTCTCCACTTGTTAGTCTCTCTGTCGTGTCTGACTCTGCAATCCCATGGTCTGTAGCCTACCAGGCTCCTCTGTTCATGGAATTTTCCAGGCAAGACTATTGGAGTGGGTTGCCATTTCCTTCTCCAGAGGATCTTGCCAGGGATCAAACCCGGATCTCTTGCATTGCAGGCAGATTCTTTACCATCTGAGCCACCAGACCCTGTCCTTTTCCACTTGAATCCTAATTTTAATGCCAGCTAGGGAAGAGTATTAAATTATGTATGCATGCTCAGTTGCTTCAGTCATGTCTGACTGTTCACGCCTCTGTGGACTGCAGCCTGCCAGGTTCCTCAGTCGATGGGATTCTCCAGGCAAGAATACTGGAGTGAGTTGCCATGTGCTTCTCCAGGGGGTCTTCCTGACCCAGGGTTTGAACCCGTGTCTTCAGCTTTGCAGGCGGATTCTTTAGTGACTCAGTCACCAGGGAAGCCCAAAGAAGTCATGAGGGTTAGTTGCTCAATCGTGTCTGACTGTTAGCGACTGCATGGACTGCAGCCCACCAGCCTCCTCTGTCCATGGGATTCTCCAAGCAAGAATACTGGAGTGGGTTGCCATTCCCTTCTTCAGAGTAACTTCCCAAACCAGGGATCAAACCCAGGTCTCCCACATTACAGTAAAATTCTTCACTATCTGAGCTACCAGGGAATCCCATAGTGGTAAAATATATTTTTAAAACTGCAATCTGGAGAATATCCTGGTAGTCCAGTGATTAAGACTCCATACTTTCACTGCCGAGGGCCAGGGTTCAATCCCTGGTCTGAGAACTAAGATTCCCCAAGAAGTCATAGAATGATCCAAATAGGAGGAAGTTTGGGTTATATTTTTCTAAGTGTAGCTTTTCCTTCAAAGACACTTTTGGTAATTGCTCTTGGTAAGTCTACCTCTAGCTTTATTCTTTTTATCCATAAAAGTGCCCCTTCGGTCCAGAAACGTGTACCTGTGAATGTTAAGCAGTAAGGAAAATGGTGTAAAATCAAGAATAGATTCCAACTTGAATGCTTCACATTTTAAGAACCATAACAGGTAACCATTTTTAGAATATGTTCTTTTTTGTTATACCATGTTTTGGAATGTTAGTGCCTGAATATTTATGTCAGTGATATCTCACAGAGCTATGCTCAAATTAATTTTAACGAACATCTACTCTTTCTTTATGGACTTCCTTTTTTAAAGATTTTTTTATTGGTGTATAGTTGATTTACAGTGTTGTGTTAGTTTCAGGTGTATAGCAAAATGAATCAGTTATACATATATCTACTCTTTTAGATTCTTTTTCCATATAGGCCATTACAGAGTATTGAATAGAGTTTACTATGGTGTACAGTAGGTCCTTGTTAGTTATGGTTCATTAAGCAAACATTTGTGCCAGATGTATCTCACTGTGTTTTACTTAATACATACATGTATTTAATAATCACCTCAGGCTTCCCTGGTGGTCCAGTGGTTCAGAATCTGCCTGCCAATGCAGGGAACAGGGGTTCAATCCCTGTTCAGGGAAGACTTAACATGCTGCAGAGCAACTAAGCCTGTGCACCTGAGTCCTTGCTCTGCAGGGAGAAGCCACCGAAATGAAAAGCCCACACCCTCCGCAACTAGAGAAAGCCCAAGCGCAGCATTGAAGACCCAGTGCAACGATAAATAACTAAATAATGATCACGTCTCATGACCAATCTTTTGAGTCCTCAGGAGCTACGAAATTCTAACAGCATTGCTCCTTCCTAATGCAACAATCTTTAGAGAACTTGTTTAACTTCCAAAACACTAGATTTGCCCCTAGCTTGATTTTATTTTTCTTCCTCTAATTATTCATCTGTTCATTTATGCTGATTGTATAGTTACATAAACCAATTCCAATTATTTTTGATGTCAAGCCAGAATGGCAAATGATAAAATAGAATTAACTTCATGTTAATGTTTTTGCCTTCATGTTTTGGCTAGGAAAATCTAGCGTGAAGAGAACAGAAATTTCATAAGCTTTGTATCCAGACTCCAGCTCGGTGACTCATTAACCTTGGAAAATTACCTAAGTTCTCTGGGACTTGGTTTCCTTATCTGAAAATAGCAATATTAGAACCTACACTGCAGGAATTCTTTGAGAATAAGAGATGATTAAAGCCTCCAGACTGCTATGAATGATATTTTTACCATAAATAATGTTCAATGTTATTATTCCTGTGCTGAGATGCTTAGTTCTCTAGCAACTATGCAGTATAAATTTTCATCTTAAAGTGAATGACCTCCACAGACAAGACACACATCAAAGATCATTTCGTAACTTTTCTAAAAAAAGAAAATCCACTCACCTCACCTAAAGACTGGATGGTTTCCCTTCCCACATAAGAGGCTGTGGGCATAGCAGCAATGTATTTGACAAATTACCACAACACAAGAGATGAAATGGAAGATTCATGGTTCTGCTTCCTCGAGGAGATGGAAGAGGGTGGAACCAAGAACACAGACAGAAAATTCGATTTGGACCAAAAGGAGAGGAGACTTTTTATCTTCTGAGGGAAGATTGGAAGGATGGATACACAGTTGGATACATTTGTTAGTCTAGCAGCAGAGAATTCATGGATTTCAAGCCTGATGGTCTCACCTTCTTCAGTGACATAGGAGGCAAGATTGTCTGAAGAGATGGGGGAATGGGAATTAAGTCCCATGGAATGTGGAAATGGCTTAGCTTTGTAGTGAAGAGAAAAGGGGAAACAAGCAGAAGTTTGGGTTGTTAGCTCTGAGACAACCCAAATGAAAGACTTGAATTGTACATGGCTGTACAAAATCACTGCAGATGGTGACTACAACTGTGAAATTAAAAGACACTCCTTGGAAGGAAAGTTATGACCAACCTAGATAGCATATTAAAAAGCAGAGACATTACATTGCCAACAAAGGTGCATCTAGTCAGGCTATGGTTTTTCCAGTGGTCATGTATGGATGTGAGAGTTGGACTGTGAAGAAAGCTGAGCGACGAAAAATTGATGCTTTTGAACTGTGGTGTTGGAGAAGACTCTTGAGAGTCCCTTGGACTGCAAGGAGATCCAACCAGTCCATCCTGAAGGAGATCAGTCCTGGGTGTTCATTGGAAGGACTGATGCTGAAGCTGAAACTCCAATACTTTGGCCACCTCATGTGAAGAGTTGACATTGGAAAAGACCCTGATGCTGGGAGGGATTGGGGGCAGGAGGAGAAGGGGACGACAGAGGATGAGATGGCTGGATGGCATCACCGACTCGATGGACATGGGTTTGAGTAGACTCCGGGAGTTTGTGATGGACAGAGACGACTGGCGTGCTGCGATTCATGGGGTCTCAGAGTCGGACATGACTGAGCGACTAAACTGAACTGAATACAATTTTATCCAGAAGTGAACATTATCTGTTGTGTCAGAGTGGAAAAAAAAAAATACCCTGAATTCTATTGTTCTACATTATTCTAATTTGTCTTAAGTAGAACTTTTCTAATCAATCTACTACTTTAAAGAATAGGTTATTTTTGTCAGATTATACATAGGACTTTTAAAATAGTAAGTAATTCCACTCTTAAGATTACGTGATGACATATATTTAGTATTTTATATTACAGCTACCTACTATACTTTTAAAGAAGTTATTAAAATATTTTCCTGGTGGTCCAGTGTTTAAGATTCTGTGCTTCCAATGCAGGGGGTGAGGGCTTGATCCCTAGTTGGGGAACTAAGATTCCACATTCTCTAGGTGTAGCCCCTCCCAAAAAAGTCATGAAAGATGGCTCTCTGGTGAAGTAAGATTTATATCTCGTAGGATTGTCCAGAAGATTAAATGAAACAGTTTACATAAATGCTTTATTAGTTCCTGGCCCCAAATAAGTATCAGTTACTTTTAGGAAACAAAATTAAAATATTTATTATTGCTTCTCCTTTAATCAAGTAAATTGACAAGTAGCCAGTTTTTCATAGATTTCTATTATCTCACAGCTACGTCAAGCAACTTACCTTGTGCCTTTGCCAAGAAAGTTTTGTCTCTAGTATCTCAGTGCACTTCTGTTTCATCTTT